GCAGGCCCAGGTGCTGCTTGCTTTGGTTCTTCTCCTTTGCCTTCTCTTTATTTTCCACATGGGCCAGACTTGGTTTTTCTCAGTGCTTCTCTTCTGACCCGCATGCTGAGTTCTGTGTTGCTGTGGCTTCCAGGAAAGAGCAGAAGTTGCTGGCAAGTTGGCCAGCTGTGGTTGGTATGCTGAATTGGATGCACCTTGTATTGAAAATGAGGGAAAATTCCTGTTGATCCTTGCCTCCTTCCACCCTTATGGTCCTGCTCCTAGGGTGTCCTGTCACCATCAGCCCTCCCCAGGGGCTGGGCAGGCAAAGCAGGTGTGAAGCCCAGGAAGAGTGACAGGTGCGCTGGTGGTGCTCCTCACCTGTTACCCAAGGGCTCTGTGTGCTCAGGTGGTTTGCTGCACTGTCCAGAGACCATGTCCAGATAGTTCCTCTCTGGAGGCATCAGGCGCTCCCTACGCAGACTGTTGTGGCTGCCCAGTGGTTCGTATCGTTCCCACAGCTTGGGTGCTGTGGGGACTGGGCAGTGGTGGTGCTGGGCTGGACTGACAGTGATGTGGACCTAGCCTTCCCCTGCATCCCTGTTGTCTGTTGGGCGTCTCTCCCTTGCGTCTGTTCCCACAAAAGCAGCCTACTGAGATTGCTTCCCATGGTCCCTTGAGCCCATGGTGGAAATGGCCTCAAAACTGGCACTTTATTCCCCGTGGTGAAAGTTTTCCTATGCCAAGCTGTCCAGACCCTCACTGACTGCCAAGGACCGTAGACGTTCCGGCTAGCCACCTCATGTCCGGGACCCACTTGCTGTCACGTGCAGTGGTTGGTGCTCATCTGGGATGAAGGTGTTGGGCAGCAGCTTCTGAGCTCAGAGGCCTTGTGCGAGCGGATGGAGCACCCCCCAGTGCCTGAGTCACCGCCTGTCCCAGTGGGAACTGCTTGAGCCCTGGAGAAGGAAGACCCAGCAGGATGGCTGGAAGGCCAAGGGCAGAGCGTGGCTCACCGGCCTGGGGGTCCCAGCTCGCTGTCATCCTCTGATTTGTGTCTGTTGCAAGCTATCAGCAACTTACAGAACTCCCGTTTCTCCCCTCTGCCTATCATCTTCTGTGCTTCTGAGATAAGAACCATTTGTGTAACACCAACACCTAACTTAAGAAAGACATGCATTATGTGGTTGTAACAAACCTGATGCTTTGAGACGACCCACACACATCCTCAACGCAGAAAGATCAAGAGCAAAACAAATCCATCCACACCGCTGGGGACCCAGCTGGCTTCCAGATTTTGAGGGTGGAATTCCAAACAACACATTCAACTGTATGACAGAAAGTAAATCTATGGATATGGTATTTTGTGAATGATCTTTTAAATAAAAGAAAAACCTTACATAATAAAAAAAAGAAAGAAATAGAGAAGGAAAGGTGATTAATGAAAGGGATCACTGGAAAAAACATGAAGGGAAGAAGGTGTTTAAAGAATTCAAGATTCTTGAAGTTCATGGAGACAAAGGCATGAAACATGGACAGAGCATTGCATTTACTGGGAAGGCAGACCAGGCCCCAGGAGTGGAACCAGATGTTCTTTTGCTGCAGGAGAAAGAGCATGAGGTGTTCTAGAGAGATGGAAATGATTTGCATGTGACATATAAGATAGCACTTGTAGAAGCTCTATGTGGGCTTCAGTTTATTTTCAAGCAACTTGAATCACATCAGATTGTGGGAAAGTACCCCTGCCCCCCAGCAAAGTAATTAAACTTGTGTTTGTGTAGTCCAAGGTGAAGGAATGCCACAGTATTGTAATAGCTTTGAAAAAGGTGATCTGTACATAAAGTTTGATGTGCAGTTTCCAGAAAACAACTAGATCAACCCTGATAAGCTTTCTGAACTAGAAGATCTTCTTCCATCTAGACCAGAATTTCCTAGTGTAATTGGAGAAACTGAGGAGGTAGAGCTCCAGGACTTTGATAGCACTCGAGGCTCGGGAGGTGGTCAGCAGCGGGAAGCCTGTAATGATAGCTCTGATGAGGAAAGCAGCAGCCATCACGGGCCTGGCATGCAGGGTGCACCTCAGTGAACCCTACAGACAAATTGCACGCGTGGATTTTTTTTTTCCACATTTGCCCCATTTGTTCTCAGTGATCCAGCCAGAGTGTGCTCAGTCCAGCTGAATCGATGGACATCCTTTGGTCTCTGTACCTTTTAAAATTGGTGTAGTATCTTACCGAGTGTAACACACAGGCCCCATTTGAGCCCTTGAGTCTAAGGTGAACGTAGCATTCTGCAGGAGAGGATCAGCTCAAATGAACCAGAGTGTTAATTCCCAGAGAACATTACTACTGTGGTGGGGGGACAGAAATAGTCAGTGAACAAGGCCAACATGCAAGTACCAGGCTGAGGAAGAAAACTAGAACCAAAAAGCCAAGTGAGAGCTGAGAAACCCAGTGAGGCACGGGTGAAACAGCAAAGATACAAGAACAGCAGGCATCACTGAGAAAAGGAGGGCTGCCCTGGGCCTGCAGGGGCACGCCTGGGTGAATCCAACAGAAACAAGACAGGGAGGCTATCATGGCTTGGCAGAGACAGAATGGCCAGCTGAGGCCAGGTGCCACCCCCAGGTATGCGGGTGTGAAGACAAGCCCAGGTGAGGAGTGTTGGCCACCAGAGTTGGATCTAAAGTAGTAGGAGTCCAGTGGAGATAGACACATTGTTGGCTTCTCAATATTGAAAAACACCTGGGCCTCTTTGGGAAGAGGTAACCTCAAATGCAAAAGTATTGTTAATACCCCAGAAATTAAGTTTGCTTTGCAGTTCTATCAGAGAGACTATTCATTGGTGTCAGAACCCAGTTTCCCCATGACTTGTGCCTCCAGGTATTAAACCAAAATAGACGAGACTTTGTGTTTAGGCGAGGCTTCCACAGCTAATCTTCTGTCATTCTAAAAGTAATTTACTCTCAAGTGGATGTAGCTACATATATTTTTGGATAGGAATTTAAATTGTCAAATTCTCTTCCCATGTTAGTTGCTCAAAAGCTGTTCATTTCTAATTCAAGGATAAGGTCTCTACTTTGATGACCATATGACACAAATTTCCCCAATATCCTGCCCATTGTCCACATAAATATACTGGCCTAGGAGTACAGAAAATTTTTAAATGATTCTATCAAGGTCTTGAGCTGTAAATTCTCTTTAAACCCTCTCCCTTAAAAAAAAAAAAAAAAAAAAAAAAAGCCCCAGGACCTCCCCCCAAAAAACTTCCCAGGAATTATGCTTGTTTCTCAGTCAGCTTAAAGGCATCTTCTTTATAAGAAATCAAAGGCTGTCACTGGCAGGACCCTCAAGGTCACCAGAAGTCACACAGCTGAGCAAGAATCCTAGGGCAGCTCACCTCCTCCTGAGAGAAATCCATGTAGATTTATTGAGAGGGGAAATGCTGCTCTGCCTCTTTTCCCCTATAGAACAAATATGAAAAATTTGGGGTTCACCATCAGGACAGGCTTTGATCACCATTAAACAAACCAGCAATGAAAGCTCGCTGGCACCATGCATCTGCAACACCCTCCTCCTCAGCAATGTTCTCTCATTCCCTTCAAAGCATTTTACAAAATGCAGGCTTCCCCAAATCCTCTATTTCCCAGACACTCGCTGTGTTTGAACGCTATCCAATCAGACTTTTGCCCACGGCATTGGTTTATGCCCCCAGCTCACTGTACCAGTGGCCGCCATGTCCAACAACGTCTGGGCCCTTCTGATGCATGCTACCATTACCTGCCTTCTTCCTGAAGCTTCCTGTCCTGCCTCCAGCTGCTCTTCTTATCTTCTGGATCCCACCAACTATGGCTATAGGCTGGGCATCCCTATTCCAAACTTCTGAAACCCAAAATGCTCCAGAATCCAAAATATTTTCCTTGCTACAACATGGCACAAATGGGAAACTCTCTGCCTGACCTCCAGTCATAGTTAAGATCACAGGTACACTAAAAATGCTGCACAAAACTGCCACAAGGTGTGTCTGAAACATAAATGAACTTGATATTTAGACTTGAGTCCCATCCCCAAGGTGTCTATGTCTATAACCACGTCCATAGTCATACCCATACCTCTACCCCTACCCTACCCATTACCCATATCCTTATCCATATCTATATCCACATTCCAAAATCTGAATCCAAAACACTCCTAGTCCTGAGTGTTTCACACAAGAATGCTCAGCCTGCGATACCATCTCCAAGATCATCTCCTTGCCCCCTTCACTTCTTACACTATCAGTCTGTGAGTAACTTAATTCTTTCTTTTGTCCACAGCCAATCCCTTTGTCTGGCATCTCTAACCAATACCATTTTCTGTCTCCGTTCTGCACAGCATCCTCTTTCTTAACTGCCTGGATCAACGTTGTGACTTCACACTTAAGGCATTCAGCTTGGTCCCCAGGCACACCAGGAGCTTCTTCTAGAATGAGGTGAAGACAGGATCCTGCCCTAATAACCAAGGAGGGAGGAGGGCTAGGGGTGACCAGACTGACCAATAGGCCTCTTTCTCTCTCTCTCTCTCTCTCTCTCTCTCTCTCTCTCTCTCTCTCTCTCTCTCTCTCTGATACTCTAACATTGCACAGAAAACACAGGTTGGTCCAGACCAGGGCTTGTTGCCCAGAAAGCCCTAAAATGGTACATCAGGTATGGCTCATCTAGGTCAAGAAGTAGGGACAGTCATTTCAATAAATTAGAAAACATCAGAAACAAAATACAGGAAGAAGAAGCGAGGACGACCCCCGGGCCGCCCAAAGCTGCGCGCCGCTGCATCTCGTGTCTAGCGCCTGTGACCTGCTGCTGTCGCCACCATGCCCAAGAGAAAGGCCGAAGGGGATGCTAAAGGTGATAAAGCCAAGGTGAAGGATGAACCACAGAGAAGATCTGCAAGGTTGTCTGCTAAACCAGCTCCTCCAAAGCCAGAGCCCAAGCCTAAAAAGGCGCCAGCAAAGAAGGGAGAGAAGGTACCCAAAGGGAAAAAGGGAAAAGCTGATGCCAGCAAGGATGGAAATAACCCTGCAGAAAATGGAGATGCCAAAACAGACCAGGCACAAAAAGCTGAAGGTTCTGGAGATGCCAAGTGAAGTGTGTGCATTTTTGATAACTGTGTACTTCTGGTGACTGTACAGTTTGAAATACTATTTTTTATCAAGTTTTATAAAAATGCAGAATTTTGTTTTACTTTTTTTTTAAGCTATGTTGTTAGCACACAGAACACTACATTGTTGTTTTGGGGGGAAGGAGCATATGTCAGTAGTACAATGTCTCCAAAGCTGGATTGATGGGAAGGTGCCTTTCCCTGCTGGTTTTGAGAGACTTCCTCTTGGCTCCCAGGAGGAGGGATTCCCTGATGTTACACATGTGGCCACCTTGGCATAAATGCCTTGTGGTACGGGACAGCTCCCAGTTCATTTTATGTCCTCCTTTCCTCTGCCATCAGCATAGGCTTAACTCCCTTAAGCCCAGAGACCTATTGGGATCTAATTCCCAAAAGTGATGTTACCAGTGTGTCAGGCAATCTGGACTTGCCAGTAATGTTGAGGTGGTGTCCCACAAGAACAATTGATTTCTTTTTTCTAGATTGTGGATCTTCGGATTGATAATTCTGCCATTTTCATTTCCTGAAAGTCAGGGTCGGCTTGTGAAAAGTTGTTAAACAACATGCTAAATGTGAAATGTCAACCCTCACTCTAAACTTTCCGTACTTCAGAGCCTCAAATGCAGACTTCACTGGATTTTATAGTGGCTTTCTGATTTTTGGTAGTCCATCCAAGAAGGGAGTTTGAAAGTTGTCGTATACTGTTAAAGATTGTGTGCCCATGTCCTGCCTGAAATACCATGATTGTTTATGAAAAGTATCTTTAATAAAGCTGGATACAGTTTGGCTTGGAAAAAAAAAAAAAAGAAACAAAATACAGCTTGGAGAAAGGGACCAGCAGAAAGCCCTCCAGAGGATGCAGCAGGGTCATGGGCTTTATGTTCCTGGAGGGAGCCTCTCAGAGTCTGCAAGCTATGTCTACTCAATGACTGGGCCCAGGGCTCTGGGAACAGCAGCAGGACCTGGATTCTGAGAACAACCAATCTTGGAGGGGTCTGGTTGCAGCCACCAGGCAGCACTGGGGCTGAGGGCTGGCAGGATGCTCCCTCCTAGATGGAACTTATTTTCAAAGTGAACCCACACCGCAGCCTCAGAGTCCCCCGTCTCTGGTGAGGGCAGAGTCATCTTTCTCCTCCAGCATCCTCCTGCCCACTGTTAGTTGGCACAAGTCCATGTGCTTGTCAATCAGCATTTACTCCACCTTCCTCTAAGGAGGACCTGAAGTTGCTCACAAATGTGCATGCATCTTAAGAAGATTTAAAGACTCTAGCTGGGCCAGGGAGATGGCTCAGTGGAATAAGCGCTTCCCAAGGGCCTGAGTTCAACCCCCAGTTCCGCAGGGAAAAAAAAAAAAAAAAAAAAACTCTAGCTGGGAATGGGGAGAAAATAACACAAGAAAAATAAGAGAAGCCAAGTGTGTGATTCAGAATATGTGCTCTGATATGTGCTCTGACCCCAGCCCAGGCTTGAGGGTGAACTGCAGAGTGGCTGTGCTCCGTACCACCAACCTTACCATCCCAGGGATAAAACAGGTCGTTCTCAGGACAGGCACCTTATTCCCAGCACCAAAACCTCAGTGAGCAAGTGTGCATAGGACCAAAGTCCTCTGAGGGTCCCACATGTACACTGAAGCCTCTGCAGGCTGCTCGTCCTCAGCCAACTAGAGCACCGTGACTAAGGAGAGATGGCGTGCTCTGGTTGACAGCTAAAATCATCCTGGGCTGGCTGGGGTGGTGTAGGTCCTTTCATTCGCCATCTGACTTCACCTTTTGGGGACTAACAGGTTTCTTGGGGTGTGTCCCTAAGCTTAGCAAGCTTCAGCTGCTACCAACCCTAAAGACAAAAGTGCCTAAGATAACTCTGACAGAGCTTTCCCCGCTTGTTCTAGCCACCTGCCTGGTGCTTCCACCGACACACCTGTAAATTATTGATTTATGGCTTTCTTTCATCCTAGTTCCACCCTCACACCTACGGACTCTAGCTTATTCCAGTGGGAGAATGAAAGCATGAAAAAAGACACCCACTCACACCAGAAGGTTTAAAGGTACTACACCTTCCACAATTGCTAGCGGTTTTCTTTGAAATAATATTGAATTGTAATTTAACACATTGGAATGAAGGGATACACTAATTAGAAACTCATTATCTATACTGTTAACCATTTCAATATGTTTGCAAACTAGATATTACTATAAACCAATTCCTTTGTAGTGTAACTACTTAAATAGAAATTGCTTTACAAAACTCTGCCTGAAGGGCCTGGGAATTCTGGGCTTATCAGTCAGATTAGTTTGCTTATAATGGGAACTTATGGAAAGTGATTTCAAGAAAAACAAGTGAAGCCTGCCAGATGCTCAGTGGACTAAAGCACCAGCTTAAGCAGGTGCAGGGACCAGGGTTCGATCACTGGTGTGCCATGCTGGTGCTGGCTCTTCCCCCCAGGGTGCACTGAGACATCGATTGAGACTGGGCATGGTGGCATACATCTGTAATTCCAGCTTTTGGGAGGCTGAAAACAGGAGAATCACTGAGTCCCATGTATGTAGTGAGACCTTGTAGATCCTATATTAAATACATTTGTTAAAAAAGAAAAGAGGAAGGAGGGAGGGAAGGAGGGAGTGAGAAAGGGAGGGAAGGATGGAGGGAAGGCAGGCAGGCAGGCACAGGCAGGCAAGTGTGTTTCTCATTCTTGGAGAGTTTGATTTAGGCCATGGAGGGTGGGAATGGCTGTTGCAGACCGAGGTCATCCCACCTGTCTGCCCCCATCACCAGCTGGCGCGCACCCCCAGCTCGCTGGCTGCATCTCAGAGCTCAATGTTGCCTCTTGGCACAATGTGGCCACTGCAATTCAGACTTTGCACCCATGTTTCAGGCAGAAAGACACAGAAGAAAAAAATGAAAGAGAGACATCAGAATCAGGAAAGCAAGCACCACCCCACATGCACACACCCTGAAAACTTCATGCTGCTGGGTAGGACTGGATCACAAGGCTCTTCTTAATTACAAAGTGATTTTGGATGGTTATACTGGTTCTGGGCATAACCAGGGTTTTGTAGTTAAAAAAAAAAAAAAAAAAAAAAAAAAGGCATAGAGAGCTCAGTGGTCTGAGCACCTGTTCAGGTAAGCGCAGGGATTAGGGTTTGATCCTCGGCACCACATGCCACGTCAGCACTGTGCCAAACCAAGCCAGCCCCCAAAACTGGGCGTGGTGGTACATGCCTGTAATCCCAGTGCTGGGGAGATTGAGACAGGAGGCTCACTAGAGTCTGAGCTGTGTATTGAGACCCTATATCGAAAAAAAAAGTTATATTAAAAAAAAGAGATTGGCAGAATGGGAATGGAGGACAGAGCTGACATTGTCTGCCAGGCTAGGATTAGATATTTAACCTTTCTTGCCTCAGTTCCTTGAGTTACAAAATGAGTATTAAATTATGCATAAAAATCCCAAAAGTTTTTAAGATCTCCACATGGTAGGTGATGGCATCTACTTTCCTCATTCTTTGTTTCTTTTTCTTTCCTTTTTTTTTTTTTTGTCTTTGTGAGACAGGGTCTCACAATGCAGTTCAGGCTGACCATGAGCTCACTTGATAGCCCAGGCTGATCTCGAACTCTCAACAATTCTCCTGCCTCAGCTTTCTAAGTGCTGGGATTATAGGCAAGCACCACCACGCCCAGCTCCCCATTCCTATTTTGAGGACAAAGCCAACCATGGCCTGCAATTTTCATGTTTAACCTTCAAAATCATGAGCCTTTGTTCTAGGTTTTATGTTTGGTTTTGTATAAACATATATAACATTGCATCTACAGGTAAAATGGCAGCCTGTTTCCCAGACACAGAACAGCCAAGTTCTGCATGCCACACATGAAAAGTGGCCCTTCCAAGGGTTGTGCAGATTTCCCCTTCCTGGGCTCCACTCAGTGCCCCTCCCTTCATATGGTTGGGAAGGGAAGAACTGGGCAGATGAGGTCAGAGCAGCCTCAGACAGCAGCATCCCATTTCCTCATTCACTTGGGGTAGATCAAGCTGAGCACCAGGCAGGCATGGCCACATCAGAGCTTATTCCTGGGGTAACTCATACCTTCCCAAAGGGTGGGATTTAATTTTAAAAGCTGTTTTATGCACTAGTGATAAGAAACACTGATGTCAGCAGACAAGGATGCCTCTGAGCCACGCTCCACAGAACGTTTAGGAGATGCTGAGAGCCGGGCTGAGGCGGACGCAGCACCTGAAGAGCTCTGTAGAGGTTACACCCAGGCTCATGCAGGCCACCCAGGAAGCCCAGACCCTGGGGACAGTGCCTGCTGAACTCCATTTACCTATTACCCATAGACAGATTGAGTCTCACCACTGCCCTGAGATGGCACAGAGACCCACTGGACGCCAGGCATGTGAATCCACAAAGCATCTTGTGCTTTCAAAAGGCCTCTTTCAGAAGGGGCCAGGTCAGAAGACAATGGTTTATGCATCTCCTTTCTGGATAACATCTGCTCCCTGCCACCTGAATGATCAACCTTCTCTTATGTTCCCATCTGCAAAATGAGGCAATGTGTTTTCCCTACAGGAATGCTGAAAATTGCTCAGATGTCAATAAGGAAATGTGGTTGCTAATCAAAAGGGTGTGCTTCACCTTGTAGGAACAGGCCTTACTCTACTTATATATTCTAGTGTGGGCTTGGGTTGAAATGGAGACTGTTAAAATGTATAAGGACTTGATTTTAAATTAAGCAAATTCTATGAAAACTAAACCTGTGTTTAACAGAGGAAAAAAAAGGAAAGAGAAGAAAAAGAAGCTGAAAGGATCAGAATGAAATGATAAGTAATTAGGGTGGTGGAAGGAGGCAATGAAGCAGGAAGGTTAAAGCCAGTGGTCCCAGGAATACCCTTGGTCATTCAGCAATGTGCCCAAGGCCTCTTTCTCATTGCCTGGAGTAAAAGTGCATGGTCCACTGCAGTGCCTCAAAGCAGAAGGAGGGAATCTGAGACTGGTGGTCACTGCTCTTGTTATGTCTAAAAAGACTCCCACATCACACTGGACAAAGGATGTGG